TTTTCAAAAATTCATAGAGTCCGAAGGTAGTATTGATGGCGGTTTTCGGTATATCGTCTGTGGCCAAGTGGATTTGATTATACGCTTTAACCAAGTCGATTTTCGAAAAGACAGTTGTACCTTTCAAGTTAGCTGTCAAATCGTGAATGTGAGGCAATGGGTAACGATCGGGAATGGTTTTCGCATTCAGTCGCCGATAGTCATCTGTTGGACGCCAATCGTTGCTGTCCTTTTAAGGGACCATGTGCAACAGAGATGTCCATGGGCTGTTTGACTGTCGCATGGTTCCTAAGTTTATCATGTGGTCGAATTAGTTTTCGACCAACCTTGGCTTTTCGGGGGCCAGTCGGCGTGCTTTCGAGAATACAGGTGATCCTGTAGTCGTGATGTGATGTGTAACATTGCTGGTTACACATAGTAATTTCGGTCACGGTTGGTATATCTCAGAATACTTATCGAGTGGTGGTTGATAGAACGGGTCTATCGTGTGCTTAATTGTGACTGGAGACCGGAGAAAGAAGTTACGCAAACAGATATATTAGTGTTTCCGTCTACTAGCCTCCGTTTACGTGTATCGATGATTAGATTATGGTGTTGTAGGAGGTCTATACCAACGATCGGCATAGAAACATCTGCAACAACAAAAATCCAGTGAATGGGTTTGCGTAAACTCACGTTAAGGTAACCGTATCTTTTACCATATGTAGCGATAAGCTTTCCATTTGCCGCCTGTAGGTTTAAAACCAATTCGTGAAGCCGGTCGTTAGAATTCGCTGGAATAAGGCTAATTTCTGCGCCAGTATCGACGAGGTGGCGAACTCTCGTTATCGCATCTGTGACGTATAACAGACGGCTATGTTCGCCGGCTACAGTTGCCGTTAACGCGTGCCGGCTTGGAAGTTTCTCGAATTGTTTTTCGTGTCGGTCGGTTTTGAGTCGAGAAAATTGCAGGGTTTTTTGCAATGCTCGTTGTGATACCAGAACCAGTCGGGGCTATCCGTCTGTCGCGGTCTAGGGACAGATTGCCTACGTGAAGTACTTCTTCGCGAGGTGTGTGACCGTTTACGGTCATTGTGAAATCTCAGATAACGTGTCAGCGAATGACGTAGTTCCGTAATGTTACTCAAGGTCGTTTGGGGTTTTTTCTTTAACTGAAAAAAAAACTCGGCATTAGATTTCGTGATTTCAAGGATGCAGTTGGCAGATGCAGCCAGCTCGTCTAAGGCATTATTTTGAGACGAGATCAGCACAGCTTGCACCCCTTGAGTAAGTTTGGATAAGAAAAGTTTTTTTAATAGGCCATCACCAAAGTTTCTTTGGCCGATAACCTCTCTCATTCTTTGCAACATGTCTGTCGCAGAACCGTGTTGCTGGTCGATATTATTAAGGAGTTAGTCTAACCGTTGTCGATCAGTAAGATCTCGGCGTTTATAGATAGATCATTTAGGTGTTTCGTAAGGTTCAGGAGCATCACTAGTATACATGCTGGATGTTACGTACGCGCGGTAGTGCCTTGACTACTGCGAGGAATCGTGCACGCGTGTCGTTCACGCCGTGCTCGTGGAAGTCGGCTTCTGCGTAGCAGAACCAGGCTTTGATGCTATCTGGCCAGAAGGGCATTAGTTGGAACGAAGTTGGGGACATAGTCTTTAACTTAATTACCTTGGGTATTTGTTCAGGCATGATGAAATATCAAGTACGAGAGTGAACGAGTGAAAAATATATGAATATCCAGAAACTCGAAAAAGACATCATAATATATAAAAAATTAAAATAAGGCAATGATATATAAAATCCTGAAAGGGACATACTCACAGTTTGCAATTTGGTGTACAAGAACACGTCGGGCTCACCAATGAAGATGCCACAAATATTTGAGTCTGACAACGCTTTAACCAGTAACACCTTCAAATATAAATCGTACTCGCCAAGTGAAATCAAAAGACAGAGGCGACGAGGTTCGAAGATATATTTGATAAGCTATCAATATATCGAGAATCGTCTGATCTAACCTGGCTAGCGATTGCAATACATGTTGAGTACAGCGTTCCCACTCGAGATCTGGTGCGGATCGATGACTGAGCGCCTTCAGCTAGATGAGCTCAATAAAACTAATGTGGTCAGCACCCAATGTCGAAGACAGTTACAATATCTCTGTGCCTACTTAATCTTTTTGGTCACCCCTAATGAACTTCCTTTAATACTAGTCAAGTAAACTGTCTGATAACATGTATGGTGATTCATTATTTAGATAAAACGGCTCTGGCCTATCAATACCTACTGGGTCAGTGTTTCCCCGTTTTTGTACCATGAAATATTTTGATTTTATAGCGACAAATTTGTATGGATCTATTAATGGAGGAATGAGTGGAGCATCTACTTTGTCACACCTTATTCAGGCGTGAGTGCAAATGCCTAGGTTCTTGGGTACATATGTCGCTCGCGACTGTTAATGAGTACTGATTGGTTAAAGTCTGGACACATAGTCCCTTAGTTGATCCACTTAACCTTATAAGTCGAGCTCTTTATTTTCAGTACAAGGATAGGTAAACTCACCTGGAACTTTTAAAGTCGTCCTTAAAACTAGTTCTGCTGCTAAGCACTGTGAATCGGTCTCGACAGCTGTTCAGCATTGTGTGCGAAAGGTGGCTGTCATGGTGTTCAATAAACCTCTCTCTGTGAAAGACTTCAGTAGATCCAGCCCAACTGGTAAATAGTATTTGGTAGTGAAGCATAGGCAAAAATGCTTGTTTCCACGTAAGGATCTTTATGGAGATAATGTATGGTGATTACGGACTTCGATGGGAAAGGTACTGGAATAAGCTGGCGCACAAAGTTGATCTAGTTGCCTGAAGAATACTGCAGACGTCCCTATAACATATAATGCAAATGCTCGTGGTGACAAAATTTGGAAATTATCCATGGATATTATAATTATAAAGAGGTGTCAAATAAAAATTGTGCTAGAGACGACAATGTTCCTAATATTCGGATTGACCGCCTTGTGCCCTAATTGATAAAGGGCTATTTATAAATATTCAAAAAGCAGTGAAGCTAAGTGAATACGACTGATTCAAACGGGTTACGAGTACGCAAGACACTGAACAGTTAAAAAACTTCATACCTGAGAGCAACACAAACACCCTCTGTAGTGTTTATTCGTTTCACGTTTCCAAGAGATAAAATAGAAAAAACACCTGTAGTTACCCAAGGACAACAAAATCTGAAGCTAGGTCCCAAGAAAAATTTTTACTTTACCGTATCCATAAACATTCGTAAAGGTCTTTCCTTATAAGTTTTGACTTCGCTTATGATAGTACATTCAGAAACTGGAGACACAACACAACAGAACGGACTGTAGACATACTACTTTATAAGAGTAGTCAAATGTTGGAATTCGCTGCCGGCTGAGTTAGTCCAAGCGACTTCTCAGGAGTCTTTTGGAAGAAAACTTTAAATATTCCGAAGTCTCAGGACAGCATTTTACTGTGACTCACCAACTTTTATCTTATTCCTATTTTGTCGTCAATATACTTAGGTTTCTACCTGAAGGCATCGTTGATTCACTACTACTAGGTGCGGAAGCCAAAGCTTCTGTTATTCCGTTCAGAGCCATTTGAGCCATTGAGATGACCGTAAGATTGACCTCTCAAAGCTACTCGTTAATCCAAACATATTGTACACCTGTCAGTTAATTCAGCTTTCTAGAGTGTCCTTGAACCTTCCGCGTTTTTCGGTACATATCTCTGAGTAATACTTTCTTCGGATCTGTTACATAATGGAACGTCTTCTCCGTCTTGGTGCTGATGGACTAGCCGCCTTAGGGCAGTCAAATGCCCAGCCAACAGATGGTCCTGTACCAGATACTGCTGAACAGGTGTATATTAGTAGTCTTGCACTACTGAAAATGCTAAAACATGGAAGAGCTGGAGTCCCAATGGAGGTTATGGGATTAATGTTAGGTGAATTTGTTGATGACTATACTGTGACGGTTGTGGATGTGTTTGCTATGCCCCAGTCTGGCACAGGCGTGAGCGTTGAGGCAGTAGACCCTGTATTTCAGGCTAAAATGTTGGATATGCTTAGACAAACTGGACGGTATTTGGTCTTTTGACATATTTTTACTTTTTAAGTCCAGAAATGGTTGTCGGATGGTATCACTCACATCCCGGATTCGGTTGCTGGTTATCTGGTGTAGATATGAATACACAGCAAAGTTTTGAAGCGCTTTCGGATCGTGCGGTAGCTGTAGTTGTTGATCCAATACAGAGTGTGAAAGGCAAAGTACTGATTTTTCATAACTACAAATCATTCATAGGTTGTCATCGATGCTTTCCGTTTGATCAACCCAAACCTTGTTATTGCTAATCAAGAGCCCAGACAGACAACATCTAATGTTGGTCATCTTAGCAAGCCAACAATCCAAGCGCTTATTCACGGTCTTAACAGACATTATTACTCTTTACCTATTAATTACCGTAAGAATAAGTGGGAAATTAAGGTGAGCTTTATATATCTGACTATTCTCATCGAAATAAGATGTTGATGAACCTGAACAAGCGTACGTGGAGAGATGGACTAACCTTGGAAGATTATAATACTCACTGTACAGCTAATCACAAAACTCTCCAAACTATGCTTGATCTAGTCAAGTCATATCATAAAGTTAGTTGTTTTGTGTGTTATGCATTTTGTTTAGTCTCTTGAAGATGAGGAAAAGATGACTCCAGAACAATTAGCCATCAAAAATGTTGGGAAAATGGTATGTTATTAACGGTATTACTTATCCTCCCACTTATTAGGATCCAAAGCGACATCTTGGAGAGCACGTAGATGAGTTAATGACATCCAACATCACTCAATCCTTAGGAGCAATGTTGCATTCAGTTGTTTTCACGTAAACACTTACCAAATAAATTCGTTTTACAAAACATTGAGTTCTATTCAAATGTTACTGTGAAGTTGTGTTTACTGAAGTATTTTTACTGTCTTTAGGAAACATGAGTTCCGATGCATTAACCGAAGAAGAGCGTTTACTTATTGAAGCTAAACGAAGAAAAGCTCTTGAGTCCCGTAACCGAAATATAGCAGGCGGACCTGTTAGTTCAGTGCCTGCAGTTCATAAACAGAATGTGGTTGCTAAACAGCCTTTATGTTATCAAGGTGGTTATGGTAGTACGCAAGCTGGAAAGGTAGACGATTTTGTACATATGGCTAGAAGTTGGGTGAATTCTGGGTAAGTTATTTAGGTCTTATCACAACATCTTTCCATCTTGATAGGGTGCAAAGGTATCTTTAATTTGGACGTTATTAAGTAGCGGTTTCTGTGTACTAATGTTCTAACTATACAGTCGTTCAGATCTTGTTAAAATGCAGTGACTCAATTCTAGGTATTGTAGGATTTTGCAGTGACTAACTTAGCCGTTGAGATTCTGATAGGATTTTCGCTTAAACGTCAGTTACCTAAATGCCAACCATGCTCTGATGTTCTTATGGTACTCAGACACGTATTTGGGATCTTGATAGCAACTTAAAAGTGGTCGGTAAAGTTCTTCGTTCATTTTTAAGGGGAGATTAGGTTGTAAGTTTGTCCATATTCTCGGAATGAACTAAGGTTAACATGTTTGTGTAGCATATATAGAAAGTAAAACTAAAGGACAAATAACATGTTTCACTGGATTCGGCTGTTTATGTAAAATTTATTTTGGCTGATGGAATTGCCTAAGCGTTTTTTCCTATTGTGTATAAGGTCGTTTAAGTGATGTATAGTTGTCAAATTGGTTGCAAATCCCTCTCAAAAATTGGTTGCTTCGCAACCCAGTGACCATATATATATTCACTAACTGGTCCAAATTACATGTATATAGAAGGTTCAAATGGCACATAAATACTAAAACCATTGGATCCTATGAGTTTTAACCTGCAGTTAATCACATAGTTAAGATATCAAAACGCCTGGGGATCAACTTCAATTCATTCTAGAAGGTGCATTATCACAAAGTATATATTTTAAAGACTGGGAGTTGAGAACCTGGGCAAATTAATAAATTATAAGCAGAGATGGATGCTGTCAAGCAGTGGAGTCTAGGACGTGTGATCCGCGCAGGATGCACATTATGGCAATAAGAGATTGATCGATTCCAATCCTAAACGTCAAACAACCAATACAAAAATGGATCAAATAAATTTTTTGATATGAACGTCAACAACAACTTCAAGCAAATTCCTTGATATATATCCTGATTAATTGTTATTACTTGCTTAACTTGTTTGTCAAATACGTATTCATTTGCTTGGCTTTGAGCCATACTCGAATGCTTAAACCATTAAGCCACCTCTTGAGCTGTAAGGTTGCATCACTTCTATCATTCAGATTAAATATTTGTCAGTTAACATAATTAGGCTATGAACGCATCAATTAAAAAATAAATATATTGGTTAAACATCAGTGAATTTCGAATTTCTTTGTACTTGCTAGTCAATAATTAAGTATTTTTACACAATCTATCACAGTAAACCGACAACTGTGAAGACAACTGAAAATTTAGTCAAGCAACAAACTTTTCAAGCCAAACCGAATTTCCTACCTAAGTCCAGTACAAATTCTTTTCCTTCGAGAACTCAGTCTACTCCTAATGATGCATTCAGACCGAAGACCAGCTTAGTTAATGTACTATGTACACTGTGCTCTCCCAATAGATTTGAAGTGCATGCCAGATATCATGTTGGATTAACACAACTATTCAAATCTATGGATTCTAAACAGTATGGTAAGTTGTTATCCTTTAGTTCATATTGTATTGTCCTGTCGTGCTAACAGTATTAACACAAGATATGATGTAATGTTGTTGGTAACGTGTAGAGTCAAATGTGTTTTCATATTTATGGAAAATGGTTTCCGATTTGTATCTGATTGGATTGAATGTTATCAAGTGAGCGTAGAATGTCTGAGTTCTGATAGGAGCAAGCATAGTATTTTGTAAATTAATTGTCATCTCATCAAATTTGTTTGAGGGCTGTGATACTGACCGGGTGCCCGAACCGAAGCAGGTGGTTTTCTTAGGGGACCACACCCTGAGCCTTTGATCTAAAGGTCTGACCCACAAGGCAGTGGAGCATCGTGAGGAGATGCAGTCCCATGGTGGCCGGTGAATAGCAACTGGTTTATACGCCATTTGTTCCCTCACGATACTGGGGCCCATGTGTACCGTTGGTTTGGAATCAGGGTTTTCCAACTCCCCTAGGTGGACTCGCCGTGTCAACCGACCCGTTTAAAGAGCTGGACATTCGCTTTTCATCCTCTCAATTTCGTAAACAACAACGCCAAGAGAAGGCAGTGAGGACTTCCCTAGCAGAGGCTGTGTACGCTAAGCCGTGTGAGAGCATTTCGAGAGGGGGGGAGGGCCCTTCCCACTCTCTGCCATACCAGGGCATTTGGGGGCGCATATGTATTTGGTGCCCTCCTGTGCCAATATTTATGTGTTCAAATAAATAAATAAATGATTGGATTTATGTAAATCAGAATTCAAGTTGATGAAATAGTTTTAACGTGGAAGTAGCATTTGAATAGTTAGACCGATCAGTATTGGATTTATATCACTTGCTGACTAAATTTATCAAGATAATCATAATCGGTGAGTTCATAAGCGTATTCATTTGAAATAGATTTTAGCCTACGCCATGATCGCGAACAGTGATGGGTAGTGAAAGCAAGAGAGGTAGAAAATGCGGCTGCAATGGGTAACAGCAGACAACTGTTCAAACTTGTTAAGGAAACCGGTATTAGGAACCCAACTGTTAACGAAAATATCTCAGAAAAAGATGAACATATTATTCATTCTCAATCCAGGAGATTGGATCGATGCGCAGAACACTTTAGGGATCAGTTCAACTGGCCTCCAGCCACACTTCGGTTTCCCACGATCTCCAGTCAGCCTGAATGGCAAGTTAATGTAAGTCCTCCGACTCTTTATGAAGTTGAAAAAGCTATAGGATATCTGAAACGTAGTAGAGCAGCAGCCCCTGATAGGTTTACACCTGAGATTTTGAAGGATGGTGGTCAAGTATTAGCAGCCAGGTTGACTGAGGTCTTAGGTGGAATCTGGGAAGTGCACGTAATCCCATCTGATTGGTCTCCATCACTGATTGTGCCAGTTTATAAGAAAGGACAAAAGTCGTCTTGTGACAATCATAGAGGAACCAGTTTGACTAATATAGTGTCTAAAATATTAGTTTCAATAGTACTTCGACGCCTAACCAAAGCTCGTGAAGAACAGATTAGAGAAAACCAGGCTGGTTTTCGACCTGAAGTGGTTGTATAGACCAGATATTCACACTACGTCAGGTCCTAGAACATAGACGCACATTCAGACGCCCCACAATCGTAGTATTTCTCGATCTTAAGGCGGCATTTGACTCTGTTGATCGTGAGGTTCTTTGGCAGTATTTGTCACTGAAAGGAGTACCGAAGAAGTACATTAACCTTGTAAAGGCTCTCTACTCGAACACAACTGGTCGAGTGAGAGCTTATGGCGAACTGTCATCAGAATTGATTACCTCAAGTGGTGTTCGTCAGGGCTGTCCACTCTCCCCATTCTTGTTCAACTTTGTGGTCGACGTACTTTTAGAGATAACACTCTCCTCATCTAAATTTCCAGGGGTTGAATTTCTACCAGGAGATTCACTTGTTGACTTGGAATATGCCGATGACATAGTTGTATTTGGTGAAGACGCTGACAAAGTGCAGAGTCTTTTGACCACTCTAAGCAACAATGCACGCATGTTTGTGATACGATTCTCCCCCTCGAAATGCGAAATGTTGTTTCAGGATTGGGTTGCATCGACACCCGAACTAATAATATGAAGTGAATTAGTTGAGCGTGTCGACTGCTTCACTTATCTTGGAAGTCTCATCAGCCCTTGTGGTCTGGTGTGTGACGAAATCTCAGCACGGATACAGAAGGCTCGACTAGCTTTTGCCAACTTGCGTCATTTATGCCGTAGGCGAGATATCCATCTATCAACCAATGGACGTGTTTACTGCACAGCAGTTCGTTCTGTCCTACTTTATGGCAGTGAAACGTGGCCGGTAAGAGTAGAGGATATTCGTAGGTTACTAGTATTTGATCATAGCTGTCTTCGAAATATTGCTCGTATATCCTGGGACCAGCGAGTAAGTAATGCAGTTGTTAGGAAACGGGTACTAGGTAAGGATGGCAAATCAATTGACGAAGCGGTGAAACTTCATCAGTTGAGATGACTGGGGCATGTGTTACATATGCCCAACCCCCGACTGCCCCGACGTGCAATGTTTTATGGCGTAGGAGTAGGTTGTAAGAAAGCTAGGGTCAGCCAGACCAAAACATGAAACAAATCCATGAAGTGACTGACAAGTGGACTGAGCCATGTTGGTAGGTGTAGACTACCTGGTTGGGATCCGCGAGATGATAGAAATCGATGGTTAGAGACTTTGAATAACATGGCTCAAAATCGTTTGCAATGGCGCAGGTGAATTCACTGTTTGTGTTCTCCCAAATTCTTATCTTCTGAATTCTTCATGTCCCTTTCTTTTTTCTCTTTCCAAATTTATTTCACTGGATTATACTCCTTGAATAACATCTTCAAACCCTAATGTTTCCGATTACTGCTTATACTCTTACTACCTCTACCACTACGGGATTGGAATCGATAACTGTACCTCTTTGCTAATGTGGTATGGCAAATCGAACTGATGTACATACGTACGAATTTCTACGTTGTTACTGACTGACTGGGATTTTAGCAGTGTAAGTGGACTCTGTTACGCTGGGAGTATTTAGTCCATATATATTAGTTACGATAAGTTAGCATCGTCAAATTGGTTTTTCTATGTCAATGCCGATGTGGTACTAACGGAAGAAATATTGAAAGACTTCCAAAGTAGGTAAATTTGTTGACTCACTCGGCTATTTTATCCCATATAATTAAATTAGACGACAATGTAACCTGGTCCTGAAGGCATTTGTCCTGTAATATTTTGAAATGTCGCCGTTTCAATACCTACAGTACTGTTATAGGGGACTAAGACCATCTCATCAACCAAGAAAGTTAACTTAATTATACAGTGAAACAGTAATAATTACTGTAAGTGAACATGTGTCTTGTTATTAGGAAATAGATTGGGTTAAGGCATATTCCGTACAGGACTGTGTTGGGGCACGCTAATTGGCTGTTTCTTAACCAGTCAGTGTTAGCTGATACTTGGAGAAGACTCTAGAATCTTTTCATGTAAAAGTTATAAATTTACTAACGTTTTTCTTATTGTGATTCCTACCTCTATTCGACCTTGTTATTTGGAATAGAATTATGTTCCTATTCAGCCATATTCTGATTTGGGTACTTGTCAAGTTATGTAGTGTCCAAGAATACTAAGCGATGAGAGTAGTCGGGTCGTAATAAGAGAAATTATCACATGTCTTAGGTTCTTTCTAAAAGCTTTTGACATTAAATTGATCAAATTGCGCATGTAGGTTCACCTACAATGTATAAAGTTCGTACTTTCTTGATGTTTGTGGTTAGTCTTTATTGTTTAGTAAGCTATTAAATAGAAAGCTCTTCTACATCTAGTCTTGAACTATTTATTCCAGAAGATATTTCGAGATTTAGAAGATAAAGAATAAGTACACGTTCTCCAATGAGATCTGTCTTAAACTAAGTCATGATTAAAAACTATTTCTGGAACCACTTTTAGGAAGTCTACGTCTTCCGTTATAACTCCAGTTGACGACTGATTCTGTGGTTAATATAATGAATCTGGGGTTTCATAGAATGTATTAAATAGTATAGAAACTCCTGAATTTTTATGAAGCTTATTCTTGTAGCCATAAATTAAAGATCATTTCATACAAATCCCACTATCCAACAATCAGCCAGCTCACGTAATCCAACATCATAAACGAATCAATATCTCTGACTGTAATGTTTAACAAAATAGGTTCATATCTCTGACGAATAATAGTTTTCGTGATTCAATGTATTGAATCCATTTAATGACTGCCAAAAGTGGCAAATGTACGTTTCTAGGTATTTGTTTGGAAATTTCATCTAAACATTTAATATCAAGTGAAATATTACCTTATTAATACCTCGAACTAGGATATTGTCTCGATTATCGCCTGAATACCATTTCATATTAAATTTACACACTGATCAAACTTAATTCTGAAAAACAAAGTGCTATCTTATCATAATTCTTCTGTCAACTTATTCTTTTTTTGCGTGTATAGATTCTCAGACAAGGAGATGGTCATTTGACTTATCAGAATATAATGAATTCGGTAAAAATGTGAAATTTTCTTTATAAATGTATCTTTTATACAGTGAAAAAGGTCAATGATATTGATGAATTACACTTGGAAGAACTTCCATATGCTGTTCTTAAAGTAGGTTTTTATAAATATTATATATCGTTCAATGTTAGTAGTTATTGTAAGTGCAAAGCTAACCAGTAAGATGATTTTATTCTGTGTATCTCTGGCTCAGTGGTTACAGAGTTGGACTTTCAACTAATAGGTCGCAGACTCAAACCCCGATGGGCCAACTTCGTTTTGAGTAACCAAGTAATATCATTGCCTTACATGCCTCGAAACCAAGCATTCAAATATGTATCTGGTACATAAATTATTAAAGTACACTCCAGCTTGGTTAGTGAACAATAGTAGAATCTAGAATTCCTGTTTTATCTCATTGTCTATGTTCACACTGAAACCCAAATCTGATATCTATGGTTTCAAGCATTAAGGCGTTACTCATTGGTTATAGAATCATCGTTTCCATCAACTTGTTCAATGGACATGATAATTGCCAGTAATTTTAGAAATCTTCATTTTCCGTTTGTTGATACTCAGGACTGAACGTGAAGAGTCTCTTTTAGCGTATTAGCTCACTGAATAGATATTGTTATATCCTAGTGAAGATTAAATTACGGGTAACTTCTGAGGACTATTAGTGGACTAATATTATTTATATATTCTTATTGTACAACTATTCGGTAATTAGATTATATATATATTCCTCTTATTATAAGCACTTTGACTTATAGATTATCACTATACGATTTGCTATTCTTTAATTATACTCAGTCTGTTAATCACAGTCTCCCACGATCACAGCCACTTTTTGGCTTGATCCTATACAAATGTTATTACCTATTTCATAGTGTGATGTGATCTGTTTAGCTGGTATATAAACCAATGATATTTGATATAAACGATCCGCATAGTAGAAGCTGTCATTGGCGTTCTGGAGTAAACAACTGGACGAGCTAGGCGAACAAAGGACTAATAAGGACGCTAGGCTGCTCATATTGATCGAACGCCGGTGGTTTAGCACAATACTAAGATTGAATAAGTCGTATTTCGATTGGCGAATAAATCACGTGATAATTAGCCGAGCATAAAGTCACGACAGATATCTCAATATTATTAGCTTCCAGAAGTTAATTATGTACTCTGTCAGGATTAGCTTTTGTTTAAGACTCATTGTGAGCATTAACACTGAAATACTAACACATCAGTCCTGAAGAGGACGAAACCGCTACTATCCAAAATATAATCAACTTGTAAATGCAGACTTTATCGTTGATAGAAGCCCAGTTAAGATTGATCATTTAAATTCTAACTATCAGTAATAAAAAAAATACAGACCCTATGCAGTCAATGATTATATGCTTCATTTAACTTTAAAGTTGGCATTTAATATTTTCAACTATTATCTCAGGAATTTATTGTTGTATTTGCTTTTTGCATAATTCCTTTCTTATATAGATATTTCGTAGACGAATTTCAATGAATTTTGGAACAGATGACTTGAAAGATAATGAGAACAATGATGAAATCGATCATTGTACACTGAAGGATAGAATACCAGATGATCTATTGTCAACATTATTTCCATTTCAGAAAGATGGTGTATGGTAATGACCACTACCTTTATCGTTATAGATTAATTTTTTAATCTAGTGTATTCTAATTGTTAAGTGCTATTTGCTTATGATATAAACTACAAATAATTTAATAAATCTATGCAACACTGATATAATTAACTGTAGCTAATACATATGTGATAGGATTTCGGTACTTGAGGTCCGTAAAACCGAATGCATTCAGCGGTTACAGAACTCATTCTTAAAATGGTCATTGTCTGAACATAGCTCTTGGTATTTTCGTCGTTTTCTTCTATCTTTTTTCATGAAATTTGTGATCGTTTGAAAATAAGTTTGATGTTAGGTCGTTCAAGAGCAAGGGGAAAGTCATAGACATAGGTCTCTTAGCTGTTGGTACTCATTTGTAAGGTGTATCTGAAATTTTGAGTGAACTGTTGTTGGCCTTGTGGTTCAAATCCCTTACTCGTGTTGGTTACGGACATTTTATTGGATTTTTTCTTGTTTATTACTGTTTGACTACTTCACTTCATTCTACTTGACAGAAATAATAACAATAATAACAGTGGGTTACAACATACAAAAGGAGGCAGAAAAGAAATATGCAGTAATAAAAACATAAGTTTTTGTGGAATTCACACAAGAACCTTTTAGTATCTTCATGATCCATTCGTCGGCAGTGATTAGTTGCAAATAAACTAACCAGCGCATTTTAATTCGGTTTTGGACTGAACATGGAATTATTAAAGTTCTGTATTCAGTATATTTCTGTCCAACTATCCCGGCCGCATTCGACGTCAATCAAAACCGATGCGTTTGTACTCTAGTTGATGATTTTGTAAAAACTAATATCAAGATTGTATATATGGTTTTCGAGAAAGTTACAGTACAGAATTGTGTACCAATTTTCTTCAAGCACAGCATCACGGTCATGGCCTCTGCCTTGCAGATTGACCGGGCTTGCCTGTTATGATAACCCAGTCTAAGTTGGCTGGAACATTCCTTTGGGTTCTACCGTACCATGCAGTTGGTTGGTGGGCGGTAAGCTTATAAGCAGCAAAATTATAATCCATGGTGAAGTATTACTATCAGTTGTTCGGGGGTGTGGCGTCTCTATGGTGTTTCAAAGAACAAGCATCTACAGTGGTGCTGCGTTCTTACTGAGGTATTAGGGAACTGGAACAGGTCGGTCCTAAGAATAACACACCTCATCTTGGTCTGAAGATTTCTATCGATGGTGTAAAGGTTTAAAAAGTACAGATCTGATACACTTAAAACTACTCACAAGAAAGGCCATGGATGATTAGATCCGAGCTGGTTGACCCTTCAGCTCTATGGTCTTACTCCTAGGTGATCAGGATCACCCTTAACCTCAAGAAGCATCCTTTCACTATGTGAGCACTCATATACCTCTAATAACATTCGACTAGTTAAATTTAATGTGGAATCACCTAGACTAGTGGTCGTAATACAACTCAATTAACAGTTGAAGTTAGACACTATAAAATTGATTATTATTGAGTGATCAATCCGTGTAGAAATATTCAATTGAGATGAGCCCACCATAATTGTTGAAGATATCTAACTTAATTCTTTCCATTACTGCATAGATTTCACTTATTCTAAAATATAAGAACTATGTTCAATTTATCATCTCTCCTTCTTTCTCAGTAATAGTTCGCTCTCTTGATAGATTTATCTGAAACTTTTTTATCAATGAACTGCAATTTTATTCATTCAAGTTTAGCTTTGAAGCGATCCGGTCGTGTTTTACTGGCAGATGATATGGGCTTAGGCAAAACCATTCAATCGTTAGCTATTGCATCAGCTTATTATTCTGAATGGCCATTGTTAATTATTACACCATCATCTGTTAGATTTTCATGGAGAGATCAAATTATTCGTTGGCTTGGCAAACCACTTAATTTAAATTTAACACATATAACAGTTGTTAATTCAGGTAAAGATATTATGGATGATTGGGATTCGTTTAATTCATCACCAATCACTATAATTAGTTATGATTTAATGAGTCGTTATGGCAAAGAATTATTGAAACGGCGGTATGGTGTTGTTATTGCTGTGAGTATTGATCTGTTATTTTTATGTATATAAGCAATCTGACTAATTTATCCCAACTGAAGTATATGTTAAGCGACATGGTTTGAATAGTAAGGTGTGTTTCTGAGATTTATATGGTCTAAAATATGATTACTTATGCGTTTCTAATATTTCATTATACAATTTCCTTGTTACGATTCGATTAATGAGTTCAAAGTCCACCCAGTTTTAGTGATTTTAATCAGTCAGTGAAACATAACGTAGAACCTCTGGGACATGAGTACATCAATTTAAGTTACTATGCCCCGTTAGCACAGCGAAATGAAACTGTCAGAGAAAATCCCAGAGTAGTACATGTAGTAACACATTTAATGGTAATAGAAAAGATCAGGCAGGAAAATATAAAGTACGTAGTGGTTGCGAAATAAGTCTAAACAACTGTCATTAAATGGTTAACTTATTATGGAGACTGATCTTACGTTGACTATTTCTAAAACAAAATTTACACTCAGCAAGCTATCATTGACATTATTACTTACTACGTTGATTACAATGGAATCAAGTATATTCGTCAAACTAACTAGTGATATCAATCCTTGAATTTACTGATATCCAGTAGGATATTTTGATACCATTTTGAATATGTTTGTGGAAAGATAATACAAAATCTTGCAAACAACTAGTGTTATTTTATCAGATATAAACCATGCATTCTATCCACAGCCTTTTGTTTTGTTTATTTTCCCGATAAAACATGGCGGGGTTACATTAGACTTCATCTACTCACATATTTTTGCTTCCAAATCTGCCAGTACAGCTGAGGGTGGGGATAGTTCGCTTTTCCTCTCGAAACGCTCTCATATAGCCAGGCGTATATAGCCACCGTCACAGAAGTGTTACTCTTCCTTTTCGCGGTGGGAATGTTGTTTACAGAAGTGAGAGGATGAAAAGCAAGTATCCAGTACTTAAACCCTGATTCTAAAACAGTGGTGAGAATGGATTACAGGATACAGATGGAATAAACAGGATATAAACCCATTCTTAGTCACGGATTACTATGGAATCGCATCTCCCAACGTAGTTCCACTGCTCCACTCAGCGATCGATTGTACAGCTGTTCAGTTGTAGTTCGGTGGCGACGTGTATGAAGCTGGGGTATGCGGGTTCCAATCCCTTAGTTCCCTCAAGATTGACGAGTGTCAGTTGTCACGAACTCTAGGTTGAGCAGGGTTTCCTATCACTTAAACCATTGTATCTAAATTTCTGTGTTCTTTCAATCTCTGTACTCGTCCTGCGTAGATAATATTTTAATTGTTGCACACATTTAACGATTGACTGAAGATAACCTGCCGGTAATCAGTTATAAATTTTTAATTTCGTTTACAGCCTATCCTGTTATTATGGGAAATTTCGCTTATGAAAAATTAATTCTTAATAATTATTATATTTATATTAATGAATTTATTTAACGTAAGTTACATTCTCCTCCCCCCCCCCAATTCGTTCACTGCCTACTTTGTATTGATGTTGTTTGTAGGATGAATCTCATTTCATAAAAAATATTAAAGCTGCTAGGACTAAAGCTGCGACTCCAATTCTTAAGGTGAGTTATTATGTAATGAATGTAGTATTGTTTGTGTTCGTTTATTGATTTATTTTTGCTTGTTTTGAATACTTAATTATTATTGATACATTAATAGTGATAATCGAATTAGTCAGTAAGGCAAATCTGGAATGAATAAGAGTAGAAAGTCCCTAACTTAATAGGTTACCAAGGTGTATCTCTTACTAGTGACTAGTTCGCTAGTTCTAACTTATTTCTAATAATGTTTTTAATTTTTATAATACAGTTTACTTCTTACTAAAATTGTATTGTTGTAGTTTTTACTTTGGGATTATGGAAGTGAAATGTCCATTAATCAGTCATAGAGTTTAGGATAAAAATGTGTTTCATCTCTAGTTATTGTGCCAGATCAGCATATTGAGATAAAATAAACGAGTTAATTAACATAGTAGATTTAAATAATAGTATGAAAGAATATCGTTAGATAGGAATGGGATAGATTTAAGGAATGAAATATACAAAATACTATTGAAGCTAAAAGTTGAAGGTATAGAGTGATGTATTCTAGTGTATAGTACTCCAGTCCTGTTCTATTGTTGAATTTAATGTATCTTGGAAATTACTTTTGGTTTATTTAATAATTGATAGTTGTGGGAACAGGCGATCACCCAGGAATCTGTGTTGTTCACCAGTATTCAAAGAATATTTACACTATTGAGGAGATTAATTATTCATCTTAGATATGAAACCTTTTGATAAGCTGGATGTGATATAATTGATGGTTTTAAAATATGTTTCATTTCTTTCAGGTATACTACAGTTATACGTTAATACGATAATCATACTAGTCACGTTAATATTAGATCCAGGATTCACAACCCAGAATAGAAAACAAGAGGACAGACTAGATAATACTTTATTCCACACGATTAGAAGCAGCCAATCTCAGTAACATTCTAAACGAGACACATTGTTGAAGTCAATAATGCACCTAGTCTGTCTCATTCTAGATATCCGTGTACGAGTTAGAAGAACAAACGTTTTCATACTAATGTTTTGTGTACATAGTTATTCGGTTATGTCAATTATAAGTTCCCCATCACTTCCTCAGTTTTCTTACTTATATGTGTATTGAACATCATAGACTGTAAAACTCACACTGTTTCGCAGTAGATGTTACAACTCAGATGTTTAGTAATATTTAGTCATTCACTAAATTCCAATGGTGAGATCCAATGTTTCTGTAATGATGCACACCGTTTATTATATTTTCTGAGCTGCTTCCAAATGATAAGATGGAAAGAAAAGTCAATTTTCGATTGATTTACTCATTATGAGGTTTGATTCAAGATTAATTCCGTTTCGATTGAATGTAATGATTACTCAATGTAGTATTTGTTTTGTTTTCCCAGTATGATATTTTATTCTGTATAATATGCGATATTCTTGTATTCCATTGACATGAACTATGCTCAATATGTGATTTGTTATATATGTGACTTCATCCTAAATATTAATCGAAAATGGGTGTACAATCAATATATAAATGAGTGTATTTTCGACTAGAATCGTCGTTGTTGTCGTCATAGTGTTTTGGGGTGAATAAATCATCACTTATACCAGTCTTTGTGTTTATAACTTCCGCGTCGTGGGAATTGCAGAGGTCCCTCGTCCTGAGTATAAGTGACAAGTGTTTCCGACATAACAATCAGCTACGATCAGATGTAAAAAGTAGCATTAAAATAGTCAAGACAATAAGCATTCAAATGACAAATTATAACACCAAAAATACTTTAGGTCAAAAATTCTCCGTACTTTAACCACATTCGAATACGTTTTCTCTCGTAAAACACTCATACTTGTATCTTTTCTTGTAACAAAATGATGATTGTCAAACATTTCTATCGAATAGTAACTTTGACTACATTAAATTTGATTAAACTGAACTAATTTGTTTTTCTTAATTTTCAAAATGGATGTATCCAGTGTTTCGTTGGTGATATTTTGGAGTTCCACTTTACCGACTCAAGCTGATAAAATAAGAGTGCATATTGCTGTTGTTCAGACATCTAATCGGATTTTCTTCTCGTTACCTTAGAGTATAGACATCTTTTTATGAACTCATTCAGGCATTTGTTGACGATGAACGGACAGTTTTATAACTATAGAGTTTTATGATTCTAGTATTTTCATTAATTCTCTATTTGCTCAGTTCTATGAGTTGGATGGGTGTTTACACTTGTATAGCATAGATTTATTTAAATTCTTTGTATTGAAATATCCATCTGTAAATTTCAAGAGCTGTGCAATATTTTTATTTCTTTATAATTTATTCATCAGTGGGCTAAAAGAGTTTTACTCTTATCTGGAACACCTGCTATGTCAAGACCGGCTGAGTTATTCCCTCAAATTTCTGCAATTTCTCCAAATCTTTTCCAAGGTGGATTTCATGAATTTGGACTACGATATTGTTCAGCAAAAGAATGTCCTTGGGGATGGGATTATTCAGGTTGTTCCAATATGACTGAACTACAATTGGTCTTGGAAAGATCAATCATGATAAGGTATAGACCCATTTGTTTATTTCGTTTTATTTTTGAACCTACTTACAAGTAGTCAACCTCGTAAAAGATTTTTTTCTCTAGGTTTGTCAGATCATTCGAGAAATAACTTGCCCGACCTTTGAGTTCCTTTTTTGCTTTCCAGCCCAGTTCATGCGTTATTTTATATCGATTTCTAGTGTAGCCTTATAAATAATATCAAAGTAATTACTGTTGTCCTCAAATGATATGTGGCCGACCACCTGTTATGAAGACTATAAGATTTTGATTTTGAAGTTGTTTATGTTTACTCATTATTGATTACTTTCAGACCGTAATCTTTAATAGCGCTGATATTATCAATAGGAATAGCACGCTTTCCAATGAAAGTCAATAGATTTAGTCCGGTGAATCAACAATGACAGCTTCACGGAATCATACTTAACAATATTATGAGGAGTTATGGCCTCAGTCAGTTATAAGAAACGTAGAACCTGGCATATATAAGTAACAGTTGAATATACTACATTATATTAATACAAAGAGGTGAAATTACCAAGAAAAACGTCAGAGTAGTAGCAGTAGTGACAATATTAGTGGTAGTAAAACAAATTAGGCATATACATCACGACTCGCGAAGAATGAATTCACGGAATAAAATGTATGAGGTAATTTTACAACTCAGGATCTAAGGTAAGTCAAGGAATAAATGTAGCCTCTCCGTTGAAATTGATTTTGAGCCATGTTCTCAGCTATCCAGTACGACCATATAATATACATCTACTTATGTGGATCATTAGTCCAGCAATAGCCTAGTGGTTAAGGTTTTCAATTTTTCAATTATGTCACATGTCCGAATCCTGCTTCTATTCAGAGCAACCATGCATTATAATTAGCCCTCACACGAGCAGTAATTTAAAACCATCACTTGATAAGTTGATTATATAAATAGATAGCAATAGATGTTAAATTTGACTCTATTTAATTTGTTATATGGATGCGATACTATACTTCGATACTAGGATACAATAGCCTCTTTCTTCTTCTAGCCTCTGTTAGTGCAAAACATAAATCTTGTAATGAATATTTTCTTAGTAGAAACTAAATGAGAGTAGTTCACATTCTAATTTATTCAATTCTGTACCGATTAGATTCATGCTGAGTTGATTTAATACAAATGAGAATTCACTAAGATTTGAATAGATGAAAAATCATCTTGGGTCGGAATGTGAATTTTAAAATCGACATTTTCTTATTATTTTATATTTGAAAATTGAATAACCTTAACAATTTACAGTACTAATTGGAATGAATTATAAATGAAAATAACCAATACTCTATATAAATTCATAGATTCCTTATGACTGAATTCCATGGTTGTGTTTCGACACTGGTATATGAATGGCATTTCAAACTTCAAGTATTTTTACAACTGAATAGTCCAGTACATAAATCTCCACATAATTTCTCTAGATTGTTAAATAACGTATTTGTGAGTAGTTTGGATACTACGTGAGCGCTCTAACCGAAGCAGATGATTTTCGTAGTTGGACACTCCCTGAGTCTAAATCCCCAAGTTAGTGGAACAACACTCGGAAATATCATCCCATAGTAGCTTGTGATCAAAATAAGTTTAGACCCTATTCGTTTCTTTAAAATATCAGACCACATTTACACCTTTAGTTTACGATCACAGTTTTCTAACTGCCTTATGTGATCCCTTCATATCCATCAACTCAGTCTATGAGCTAGATGTTTGCTTTTCATTCTCTCACTTTCGTAAACAATGCCTGCAGCACGTGAACCCAGTGAGTAGGACTTCCCTGACATCGACTATAAATAAGTGGCTATATGAGAACGTTTCGAGGAAGAGAGTGAACGTTTCCTACTCCCAAACATACCAAGACATTCAAGAACAATCTTCACACGATAACATCACTACTTTTGCTTCTATCTAACAGAATTTATCGATGTTATTTTCTCAATTTATTCATTTTACATCATGCTCTTAATAAAAATGTTTTTTCGATATTTTTGTTTTTCGTTTACTTTTAATAGACGAGTTAAAGCTGATGTTTTATCACAATTACCGGCTAAACGTCGTGAATTAGTTGTTCTAGATCCAAGTATAATTAAAAAAGGAAGCCTGGGTAGACATGCTAAAACAATGTTAACTGATAAATTATCCGTAAGTTGATTTTGAGTAGAGGTTAAATATGATTCATTAATATTATATATTTATATATAATCTTTTTCTTTGTATAGAGTAAAGAGAAACGTTCTGCTCTATTTGAATATTTCCATGCAACTGGTTCAGTAAAACTTCCAGCTATAGAGTACGTTTAATTCATTATTATTGTTGTTTATTAGTACTTCTTACTTTTGAAAGACTTACTCAATTTACTTTTTAATCTTATTTAATAAACGGTTACATGTTGACGAATAATCTAATAGTCTTAATTATGCAGAAGTGATGATGTCATAAGTTATAATCTCAGAAAATATGTAGTTTGAAAATACACATTAGCCTAATGAATATGTAATAAGCGCCTACGATAACTGTAGGTCTTAATTTCTTATATTGATAAATATTCCGTCAGTCGTTTTAATAGATTCGAAAGGGTGTTAAAAGAAAAGCGTAATTCTTTCAAATGATGATTTCAAAGTTAAAAGAAATGACTTTCTGTTGTTGGATCTCCAAGTCAAACTCTTTTATGTTTAACTTGATTTAAGAAACCAGGCAAAATCGCCTATGGTTTAAAGTCAGTTACAATTACTTGTACTTGGTAAATATGTTAAAAAAAATTACTGAATGTGACTGACTGGCAAGTTTACAAAGTTGGCAAATAACAGGTATATTAAATTAAACAGTTCACAGATGCTTATGTTAACTAGGTATTCGAAAGTTGTTTTCTTGTGCATGAGTTCTTAAAAAAATTCTGCCTATCTTAAACTGTGCGTCAGGTGTACTAATGAATAGCTTACGTTTTTCAATAGTAGGCTTACTACCTTCAATTAAGACATATTTCTCACTAATGGAAATCCCTACAGTTCTAGTGAGAAGCCGTAACTAATGGTGTTCAACCATGTTGGTTGTGAAGTAGTTATTTACCACTGGCGATAAAAGATTGTTGTGCATTACAGCGAATTAAGTGTAATTATATATGCAATCTATTGGATCCCGGCTTAGTGGTCTAGAGGTCAAGCGATTGCGCGTGAGACCGGAAGGTCCTGTGTTTGATCTTTAGTGGTGGGGTTGTGGATGCTCATTGCTTAGGAGTCCCATGCACGGACAAAACAACTGTGCAGTGCTTCATCATTTCCAATAGTAATTTAACCGGGACTAGTCATGGATGTAAATCGTGAAAATACCGATTTCCACAAACCCTCTCTATGTATATTTTTCGGTTTTCCTTCGATGTCTTGCTAACACGTTCACAAAAAAATATTAACTAATTTACGTGTTTCAAAGTGTTAATTGTCATAGTTTTTATAGTTACCATATGGTTTCAAATATGCTAACAATAACATCGTTTTAACTCACTCAAATTGATCGTGTATAAAAGGTAGCCCTAAATTTCTTTGTCCACTTAGGATTGTTTATAACTTTTGTAGTATTTCTCACATGTTTTTTTTCACTGATATAACGCCAAATGATATTTTGGAATCTAGGTTTGTTTCCTGATACAAAACGTATTTTTATAGTTTTGACTTCTGTTGTCCTTTAGATCATTAATTCTGTATTTTGAGGAGGAAAATATTCAATCCATCGTGGTGGTGGTGGTAGTAGTTGTAAAAATCGTTTTTAAACCTATGGAAATAAATGTACCTTTGGAAAAATATTGACTCAAAAGTTTAAATAGGTCTACAGTTCCTCGGTATCTGTATGCAAACGAATAAATTGGAACAGTAGCTTTGTGGTTTTCATCACTTACAGTCTTAACTACATGCTTAGACATACAAACCCAACTAAATGTGCATCAGCTTAGAAAATCAAATGGTATCACTATTCTTCACATACACGTTTTTGATTATCTTCCATCTTGTCAATGCTATTGTTTATTATAATACTAACTATTAAATATCACTCGTCCTCAAATTAAGTTCGGCTAAAAGCTCGAGTATTCAAATCTACACTTGATGAATGAGTTACGTTATCCAATTAATTGGCAAGTATCTATTGATCATATTACCAATGAATCCCTTACAAAACATTAATTTTCTTATTTGCTTATCTTCACGGATGTTTATATTTTAGACAATATGTTTTAGATATAATCGAATGTGGTCACAAATTCCTACTTTTCGCACATCATACAGACGTCCTAGATAGTCTCGATAAATTACTGTCAGAAAAAGTAAGCTTATGACTTTTTCAATTGATACTTATCTATCACGATGACCGTGGTAGTTATTTGTTCAGCATTTAAATATAGCGTAACTTTTTCCAGCGTATTTATATATATATATATATATATATATATATATATATATATATATATCCTTTAACCCTGTTTAAGCACCGGACATTCTCTTTTCATCCTCTCACCTCCTTGAACAACATCCCTACTGCAAGAAGAGGTAGTAATGAGGAACACCCTGGCAGTTGAGAGCATACTCTCCTCATCTTCGACCGTATAAGGGTATTTGTAAGTCAGTTGTAAAAAAATGTGGATGTCGTCAGTATATAACATGGAACCGGATTACGAAAGATAGCTGTACAAAAATAGCATCGCTCAGCCCTTCATGACTCTCTGGTTGAGATCCTAGATATAGTGCGATATAATGGCCTGAGACGTTATCGGATATGATTCAAAACAGAAGACTGCGATTATCTTGCTGTTATTTTGTTTATTTTTTCCATAAAAGTAAAAGGACCTTCTTTATCTGAAATAATTCACTCGCGCGAGAATGAAGGCCCCGAGTTAGAATCCCGTGGGAGGGGTCTTGGATGCGCACTGCTGATGAGTCCCACAATAGCAAGAAACGGTCGTCCAGTGCTTCCAGGTTTTCAATAGTGGTCTAACATCAACCGGTTCATGATTTTAATCAAAAACTTGATAATCTCCACAACCCCTATACTGATAATTGATAAATAAGTAAATCATGTATAACTCAATTTATTCGATATAATTTCTGATTTGGTTTTGGGCATAATTAGTCTTCATTCTTGCACCTTTAGTCCGTCGCTTGCATCTAGTCATATCAGTATTTTTATTCAGTTGGTACAAGTAACAAGTACTCGTTTTTTCCGCAATTATAAAAATTGGCCACATCAGTTTTTGTCAGTTTATAACAAAACTCAAGACCTACAGTCGTCACAGGAAGCTCTTTGCCTGCTCAGAACATTTAGTTCGTATTTGGTGGTTCCTGTAAAAAAATATCCACCAGTTTGGTCTATTTCGCTTGTTTATTTTTTTCCGGTTTACTAGTCTATACGTTTTATTCGTATTGACGGTCGTACAAATTCAGAACAAAGGTCTGTTGTTTGTCAAATATTTCAAAATGAGGACGATTGTCGTGTTGCATTGCTTTCAATTACTGCAGCTGGGACAGGTAAGAAAAAGTACCAAACATTTTATCTATGTTTAAATGGTTTACGGTCAGTTTTAAGTCAGTTCCGTTTCTCCTTTTTTTGCACACATTGGTCCATCTGTACAAGACACCTCAGTTCCCAGCAATATGTAAGGAAGAAAATGGACTAAATAATAATCAGAGTAATGCGTGGGATAGACGGACATTTTAAACCAACGCATAACATGTTTGGTTCATAGCTTCATGGATTAGTCAGTGAGTTGTATTATTTGGATCGATTTTACGCCGATTAATTCTAGTGCCTGACATGTCTAGGGTTGTGATATAGAAGTTTGCATCTGTATTTGCAATATAACCCTAAATAATATCTTATTATCATCACCATTGACTTTTTTCCTATAATGTAAATCTATTCAGATAACTTGTACATGTCTTTTTTGTATGGTGATTGAATATGTGTAATACAAGGTTTATAAATTTATTTGGAGATTTACTTTCCCTTTATTTAACAACCCCTACACTCAAGTTCTACTTTATGCTGCTGTTCCTTCTCTTGCTACTTTGCTTGCCTTCTATTTTAAATTGATCAATGCTTTTCTATTCAGTCTTCGAATCAATCAACTGTAATTCCTCTCCATTGTATTTAAAAATAATTCATTGCTGTCTTACTAATAATAGGTTGACTGATACAGATCAACAACTACCTGTGTAACAAAGATAACTGTTGGGACGGCTCCGAAATGCATTGCAGAGCCTCTAAAGGAGCCGAAGAGATTCTGTCCAATCAGAACCTGATGGAGGCTTTTGCAGTATTAATATGGCATGCTGTGAATAGACAATTGCATAACTTGTCTCCTTGAGGATTTGCTGGATTATAATGATGTTATAGCCAATACTAATAACTATAAATATCAATGTTTATCTGTACATTTTTTTAGTCTTACCCAGTAACCGCTTTCCTTGCTTTTTTCGTCTTTCTGTTTGCGACTGTGGGGTTCTACACGTTCGAGTGCCTTTAGTTGCATATCGTATTCTGTCTTAATGAAGTAGAAAACATAACAATAAAACATTGGTTGATAATAGTGATGTGTTTGAGACCACATATTACTACGTATGTCTAACTAGGTTTCAAACGAATAATTGACAATTCTAATTTACCTATTTCCATGGAACTGTACGTTAGATGGTTTTCTATATGAACTGGATTACGTTGATGAATTTTTTCAGAATCAGTAAGGATTAGATATGTGTTTTTTTTTCATTCAATTTTGAAGCATTCTTTAGACTTGTACACGTGTCACTTCCTATAACAGTAGAATTGACATTCACTGCTTTATAAATTCAGCTAATTAAGAGTTACATAACTCATTCGGTATTATGTTTATCGATAGATTGTTTCTACCTTGTCTCAAAACACAGTCACTTCTAACAATGATTGTTTTTAAACAGCACAAGTTGTATGTGTGTGTATATTTGTTGTGAAGTGTCACAAATTATCTTATTTCCACTTTTTTCCTTCATTGTTCAATGTTTTCATTTTAATCATCTGTAAATAGGTATGATGCGGTATAGATTTTCTAAAACATATACCATTTATGCATATATATATATGATATTGTTAGAATAAAACATTTATTATCGTCGCCTATAGTGACGTGTTTATGCCTATTGTCGTTAATGTTTTGTTTTCCCAATATATAATGTAATGTTATAAATATTCAACAATGAAAAATACCTTCTATATATTGGGTTACATTTATTTATTGGCTTAGTTATATTTTGTAGATGTTAGTCAAGCGTGAAATCTGTTTAAGCAACTGTGAAATTATTTATTGTGTATGCCTGTGTATTTTTGCCTTGATTGGTAGAAAATGAGGGGACAATGTTATGTACTTAGTAATATTGTCACTAATTACAATGTACACAATATCTTCATCATCATTATCATCATTCTTGGTTCAATTAATTTATGTATGAGTAACTGAAGTAAACATGTATGTGTGTATATGTACCTGTTCATAACAGTTTCATCAATAAAATGTCCCGTATTTAGTTGAAGAATACAGATGTGTGTTTATTTTTGCTTTGTAAGATGAATACAAATGGTAGAATAAGTTATTTCCATTTAAGTTATTGATATTATCAGTAATAATGAGTTTCGTTTTTTGTTTGTCAATGAATTATTGTGTTATTGTCGTTGATCTATGGTTTCTTTTCACAATTTGTCTTGTTGGACTCACTTTTTTCAGTCTGTCTTAACGTAGAGCTTGGAAGAGTTTGGCGTGATAAGATTAACAGAATGAATGACGATGATAATCAGAAAGATTGAACATAGAGAATATAGTTCTCCGACTATATATATATCATCAACTGATCGTGTTCAATCACTAAGGTATTGTAATTTTATAATTTAGATTCCTGATTTTAAGTCAACTAAATTTGAGGTACGAAAAACTCTTCCGCGTATACACACAAATTCCTTCCATAGTGAATATATAAACATTCTTGTGACTATTTGATGTGGTTCAGTATGTATTTGTAAATATCTTTTAAGTAACCACTAAAATATTAATAAACATTATTGGATTAGTTTTTTCCTCAGTAATATCTATTTACCGTTCTATCAATTATAACTTACCATGTTTTCTTAAAGTTTATATCATTAAATGATCTTAATTAAACGGCTATTGAGAACCAGCAACCACTGAAAAACTTTTTCGTCTTAGCATGGGTCTCGTCAGCAGTGTGTATCGTCGACCTCACCGGTAGACGAATCAAGGGGTTTCAAGTCTAACGGAAAGAATCTATTGTTTAGACCAGTAGGTCGGTATCCAATCCTTGAGTGTTTAATTTCATTCAATGATCCAAACTTGCGGGTAACAACTGCCTTAAATCCGACATTATTGAACTTCATTGATCACGGCTCCTGGGACTACTCAATTTTTAGTCATTTATCATATGATAATTAATTAGCATAACCCTCTTCTTTATTAATATTTGTAGGTCTTCATTTAACTGCAGCCAATTTAGTTATATTTGCTGAATTATTTTGGAATCCTGGTGTATTAGTTCAAGCTGAAGATAGGGCATATCGAATTGGTCAAATGGATTCTGTGTTAATACGTTATTTAATTGCAGAACAAACTGCAGATGATTTCATTTGGTAGGTTAATTTGTAGATTACCATGACTAAGGTTGATTGCATTAGTTATTGGCTAACTACAATTAAACTCTTTCACTTAATCTGTTTACTAGAAGAAAAGTATATTATGCATAATTGTAATATGTTAATTATATACTTTAAATTGATGAACCATTCGCTCACACATTATTGCTAATTCCTACTGCTCGACCGTAGCTGCTACATTGACGTGGTGGTCAGGCTTGCCTATCGTGATGACCCAACCGAGCTATATTGGCTGGAGCATATGTCCCTGTTGGTTTTACCATGCCAGGCAGGTTGATTGGAGAACGGTAAGACTAAAAGTAATAACTCAAGGTCTGAGGGCGAAGCCGTACTGCTGACTGTAGAGGGGTGTGACAACAGTAAGGTGTTTCCCTCGGACAACCAGCATGACAGCGATGCTGCCTTCTCACAAGGAAGGAAAGTGTTAGAAAAGGTCGACCCTAAAAATGTCACACCTCATCTTATCTCACGGATTTCCGTCTCCAGCGGTAAGGCCCTTTGACGAACGGAGCTAACACTAAAAACCTCCCACAAAAAGGCCGTGCGCGACCGGCCTCAATTAGTTGTCCCTTGGGCTCTGCGGTCATGCTCCCAGGTCGTTAAGGTCAACATTAATCCAACTTCTTGTTCAGGTTCCTCAAGAAATACCCTTCCACGGTGTGGGCAGTCGGGAAGTGACATCAGCCCTCATACCCGTAACAGCACACGAGACCAAGTTGGTCACATCCAAATCCCTCCCACACCTCCAAATAAATCTATTATCTACATGACTAGCCCTTCTCACATCCCTTTATCACCTCGCACCGCTAGGGCAAACAGTTCGAGTACGCGGAACGTTATTCCTGGTTTTCTGAAACCACGCTCTAAAGTACAGGATCCGAGTAGCGTCATTCATTTGACCTCACCATGTCAAAGTAACGAACCAACTCGATTTACGCTTCGTGTATCTGGAAGCCCAGATGCTGCTTCCCGCGGCCTTGCTGGCGTAGGTATAGCATTGAGTCCTAGGGCAGAACTAGCTCTCTTAGACTGGATCCTAGTAGACAGTCGTTTGTGCGCCGTCCGACTAAATGGAACAGTAAGGACTCGAAAAAATAGGGACACTCATCGTTGTCTCTTCGTCGTCTCTACCTACTCTTCCACTGACTGCAGCTCAGATGATGTAAAAGACGAGTTTTACAGAAAGCTTTTCAACCTTCGAAAAGCTAGGCGCTCTGATGTAGTAATAATGCCTGGTGATTTTAATGCTGAAGTAGGTAAACTAAGCGAAAGGGAAAGACAAGTAGGTGGCTCTTAAAGTGTTGTGGCTGAAAGAACAGATAATGGCGATTGTCTGTTGCGGTTATGCTCGCAAACACTAACTTTAAGCATAAGGAAAAACATCTTATCTTGGAAGTCTCATCAGCCCTTGTGGCATGGTGTGTGACGAAATCTCAGCACGGATACGGAAGGCTCGACTAGCTTTTGCCAACTTGCGTCATTTATGGCGTAGGCGAGATATCCATCTATCAACCAATGGACGTGTTTACTGCTCAGCAGTTCGTCCCGTCCTACTTCATGGCTGTGAAACCTGGCCGGAAAGAGCAAAGGATATTCGTAGGTTACTAGTATTTGATCATAGCTGTCTTCGAAATATTGCTCGTATATCCTGGGACCAGCGAGTAAGTAATGCAGTTGTTAGGAAACGGGTACTAGGTAAGGATGGCAAATCAATTGACGAAGCGGTGAAACTTCATCAGTTGAGATGACTGGGGCATGTGTTACATATGCCCAACCCCCGACTTTCTCGACGTGATATGTTCAGTGGTATAGGAGTAGGTTGTAAGAAAGCTAGGGTCAGCCAGACCAAAACATGAAACAAATCCATGAAGTGACTGACAAGTGGACTGAGCCATGTTGGTAGGTGTAGACTACCTGGTTGTGATCCATGAGACGATAGCAACCGATGGTTAGAGACCTTGAATGACATGGCTCAAAATCGTTTGCAATGGCGCAGGTGAATCTACTCTTTATGTTCTTTCAAATTCTAATCTTCTAAATTCTTAATTTCTCTTTCTTTTTTCTCTTTCCAAATTTATTTCACTGGATTATACACCTTGAATAATATCTCGAAACCCTAATGTTTCCAATTACTGCTTATACTCTTACTACCTCTACCACTACGGGATTGGAATCGATAACTGTACCTCTTTGCTAATGTGGTATGTCAAATCGAACTGATGTACATGCGTACGAAGTTTTACGTTGTTACTGATTGACTAGCTGCTTGTCATTTTTCATCAACATACTTATTAAATGAATTTTATTATAATAGCTCTCCTACAATCGATTTTGATTATGGTTGGCTAATTTTTGTTAAGCCCTTTTATCAACCTAACAGGTTATGTTATTCGAGCAGTAACAACTCGTCCATTTCTTTATACTTTTATGATCACCATCTTATCTGTATAAACGTGTATGCTTGGTCACATGTGACAGCCTGCACACATATCTCTCTAGCTCAAATGTTGATAGTTTATATGCTGCTCGATGAATCATTCTCTTTCTCATGCATATATCTGCTCTAGTCCTATCAGTAGCCTTTGCCGTGACTAGCTGCGCCTTATTCGATTTGACTATAAATTCACTTCTGTATTTGCTCGCATACGCACATTCGCCTTTCTACTTCAAATCCACTCGATGTGCTTGAAGATTTGTCATCTGTGCTATCTTATAGACTGTAGTTGCCTCTTCTTATTGCCTTCTGATTTCAAATACCGTTGCCATTTATATAATCACGGTTATCAGCGTGATTGATTAACAAAGGTAAGCCACTACTATATAATTATATCACTTCAATGCAACAAATAGACCATTGTAATGAATAGAAGATATAAAGTTGAAACCTAACTCATCTTAGATTATAGTAGCAGCCTATTGTTTAATTATAGCAACAGTAACAAAGAGTATTGACTTTTGATTGTGTTACAACATCACTGAAAAGCATACATCTGAGTAATAAACCCTCATTATTTCATTGTTGGTTCTATGTCTAGTCGTTAAGAATTATGGTTGTCGAATAATCTTTGCTTTCTCATCTGTCGACATTAATCATGCAAATCATTCATATACAGATGGTATTTTCAAGGATTCGAACTTTCTGTGATTCCAGAAATTTGAGTATTTTCACTGCTCTGCTCGTTATGATGTAATATAATCCCAAAAGATAGAAATTTAATCATAATGCAAAATTATTTAAGAAGGCAGAAGTTCATTACATGAAATATTATTCTGGTTTGAATTGTTTAACCTTATGTCATGATATATTTAATTTTAGGCCTCTTGTGGAACGTAAACTTGAAGTGTTGTCCAAAGCTGGCTTAAATCGAGAAACATTTCGAATGACTGATTCTACAACAAGACTTGGTGTATGTTCTCTTTTTTCTCTCTTTTTATTCTATTGACTTTTATTGTTTATTGTACTGGTAGTATCAAACTTTTAATATCTAAGTATTTTTTTGTAGTACTATGTGTAAATGATAGGTTAGATTGGACCAGTAGTTTAGATTTTCTAAGTCTAATAGTCGTTTATTGATAATTTTCAAGACTGATACATTTGATGGGATTATAATCACACAGTTCAACATGGCGTTCTTTTTTGTTGTAGAACTTTTTATTCTGATGAGGTCTATTACGACTTGAATAAGTCAATGGTTAGTTATATTATTTGTGCCTGTAGGTTTCGAGTATGTGAATCTTTAAGATTACAGAACTGCTTTACTTTTAATTTGTGGATTGTATTAAATCTTGATTCACGGCTTTTTATCCATTGTCTCCGACTATTTAACTTGTTATTTCCGACTGTTAATAAAAAGATCCTATTAGTTGGTATCTATTAATAATTGTATAAACCTATGTATACTTCTATGTTTGTTGGAAGCTAGTGCTATTTATATCAGTAGGAACTGTCTTTGAGACATTTTTACTGTTAGTTCAACTGTAAAATATCGGGTGAGTAGTTTTGCTTTATGCTTGCGAAACCTGGCCTTTCCGATATCGTTGCCTCTGAATCACTGCTGACATACAGTGATAGTACCGTGTTGGTAGTACAAAAGTTCGTCAATGTGTTCTGGCATAGTGCCGATTAGACGATTGGTGTTGTCACTATGACATACTGGCTTTGGTGGCGTTGAACATATGTTGCAAATATCACTTCATAAATGACGCTATAGTTAAACTCAGTGTACTAGATGAAATTGATTCATTGGTTGATGAGGTTATGAATCTTGATCAACTGAGATGGTTACGACATATATTATATGTACCCAACCACAGCTTATCATGACAGACAATAATCACCTAATGTATAATTAATTTAGGAAAAATCTAGGGTCATCCGAAACAAAACATATCATCAGTACATGAAATCAGTGACTACCTGGTTGTAGTCTGTCCAATTGCCGCGATCACTTTTTGAAGACTTCAGGTGACTTCTCAAAATCGGTTACAATGGTGTAGATATGTCCAATATTTGTCTTCTTCTAGATCTTGAGTCTTAGAATTGTATTATGCTTTTCATTTCACGAATTCATTCTCGAATCATCTTGTCTGTACCTAATGTTTTCTCTGGAGTTTGTCCAGATAATTCCCTTATTCTGTGCTAGTATGTTATGGCAAACTAAACCAATTCACATATTTTCCACTTCCTTTGTTTCTTCTGAATGACTGATACAAATCAATGTTTAGTAAAAGAGTTATGTTAATTTGTTTAGATTATTCAATAGTAGCTTTGCTTCTGAGATCTTTTTGATTTTGATTTAAAGTTCGTTTTATGTGTATATACATTCATTGTCTCGGCTGTTATAGCTGATCAAGGTATATTTGAATCTAATAAACGCTTTAGCATAGACTGTAACATTGTATTATATTTTGTTAATTATATCCACTGGGATGTTAGTGTGTTCTCGCTTAAACTTGAATTCAGTGTGTCTTATTTCTAATGTTAATAGATTTCAATACAAATATACGTATAACCGGAACAGTGAATCAATCAGATGTCGTATAGGTTATAACTATGCACTATCGGCTAATATTTAGCTGTCTTTTCTAACGGACGAGTCACACGGTTGGTTAAACTCGTCACTTAGATTTCTAAGGGCCGAAACTATATATGAATGAGTGTGTAGATATTTCTTAATTCAATTTAGCCAACAATGCTTACTTCTCACTCAAGTAACCGTTTGAACTAAAAATTTTCCATTGTAATCATTTCATGTTAAGCAAAATGTCGGAATCATCAATCGATTAGTAGATAATGATAGCAACCTTTTCTTCCATAAATTTCTCTCCTTGGGCTCATCTACTAATAGTTCAAATTCACTTCTTCATTAAATGATTTATTCAACTTAACTGGAACTGATTTCATCTGAAATATTAACACTGCTTACTATCATCCTCTTTACCATTTTCCATAATTGTATAAACCTTTATGTTTCCCATTGTTGTTTAGTTGGGTTTTTTTTTTAAAAAATCAATCATAATATTTTTTTGTTTATTTAAATCTTTGTGTCATGAATTCTTTACTTATATGAAACAAAATAAATCATCTCACTGAAGTATATATGTATATAGATGTCGACCTTGAGTGTGACAAGTCAGACAGCTCTATCAATTATCGTTGTTGTTATTATTCTTTTTGCGAATGATTGCGACGAATAATAAGAGAAGAAAAACATAAGAAAGTTTTTCTGTCAAGCTCTTATTTCAATGTTTACTTTCATTTTCTATTCTTCGGAACCCTCACCCCTTTCTATCCTGCTCTCCTCCCTGCGCATACCGCACTTCTGTTGTATACGTATAAATATTACCCCTTTATGGTTAGTTTTAATTTGTTTCTTTTACTATTATTTCTTAATAGAATAAAATGGATAATGTTTCATTGTGTATTTGTCTGTCTCTGTGTGTATATGTGTGTACAGTAATCATTGCGGTGATGATGTCTTTTCCATTATTTCCTTCTGGTTAGTTTCGAGTTTTGTGCATCTTTTCTTTTGTGCGTGTACATGTTCAAGAGTAGTATAAAGAGAGATGGAAGAAGATTGAATTTTGAATGTGAATTGAGTTTTAGTAATCTATTTAATCAATATTCAACTAAAACGGGTTATTGAAATTAATACAAGTCAAAGTGGTTGATGTGTTGAATAAATAATTTCTATGTTATTGTTGTTTTCATTTAGTCAAAAAAAAGTTTTATCTCAGTATAGTTATTTAAAAAGTGTTTTAGAATACCTTATAGAATGATGAACATTCCTACAATACACCTCAATCGATGTGAATACAATCATCACCTGTATGATATAAAATGTAAAGGTTAAAGTCTCTACTTGGTTTGTAAAACCTCATATATAAGTTTGAAAACTGCTTGGATTTCCTTATTCTTAAGAAATGGTGCCTCAATATGAAAGAAAGTTGTATGGAACTAGTTTCTGTTGTTTTGTCGAAACTCCCTGATCGGGGTCTTAGAGACTGTACGACTCATTACCGTCAGCTTCACAATTGAATGTGAACGATGAACCAATAAGTCTCTAAACTAATTACTGGGTTGGTTTTCAAAGCCGTATCAATAAAACATGGGAGTATATCTACATAAAAGGAAATTATGTTTCTTAGTCTGGATATTTGTGGTGATTGTAGCACTTCATGTTATATCTCGTGGACTTGTGCCCCATTAATATGTAACGTAATCATACCACCAATTAGAGAACAGTGGTTTATCGACCGAACCAATGACGTATATAACCCGTACGAGCAGTCTTTCGTCTTTATCGTTCCTTCTTCCTGCCTAGTCCTTCCTGTTAAAGTCGGAACACCAATTCCAGCCTCTGCAATATGAATAATGTATTTTAAACATACTGGGTCTATATATAAACCAGACATACCATATCGTACCATAAAATAGGAAATAACATTTGTACAAGATCTAACCATAAGTGTCTGTGAATGTGGGAGGTAGTGATTAATAGACAGGGCATAACTCAAGAATGGTAAATCGTATAATAATAATAATAATAATCTATAGGTCAAAATAAAACTTATAATGGGAGAAAAATGAATATGCATCTTTTTGGTGCCCTATTACATCAGGATTTGTTTATTTTTGCTTTGTTATTGATGATGTTACTGATTTTTACTCGTGTGAACATTTCCTCATCTATAACAGCTCAGAATCGGTCATAGCAACGCAGATATATTCTTTTTTCTTACCCTTTTAAATCTTCAGGTTCTAGATAATTTCCTATATCTCGGTTTTTATTCTTTGTCATAGAACCATCTTCTCTGTGTGTTTTTTTTTCGTTTTTAATATCATACAACGTTATATTTTGTTATACATCTGGTTAATCTATCTCTCTTTTGTTCTATGATGATTCAGTGTGTGTATCAACTTGAATATTTAACGGATACGTATACCTGATTTCATACGTTATTATTTGCGATGCACTATACTGAACAATCCATTATATTCATTTGATTGTTGTTTATAAACAAATATTTATATCTAATATATACTGTTTTGTAAAGTTGTACTGTGGAATCCATAACGGGCGTTTCATCCTATTCAGAACTCGATTATATGTGTCTGCATCCCAGTGGTACGATATATATCCATCTATATCCAACTGAGGAGTTTCAGATGGGATAAAACGTGCGTCCTTGATTCCACTGCTAACCAATATCCAACTGTCAATAAACCGGTGACTTAATAGCCATATTAAAGCAACCTCTTCACAATTCACATATCCTAATAGATACTGATCGATTAGATTCGTTAGCGTTAACAACGGGAAAATGCACATCTTTTTAAATAAAATATTGATATCAGTTTATTTTAGGAAATGTTAATAATGTATGTTTTTATTCTTTTTCTTATCTTCAGTCTAATAAACTTGAACAACAAAAAATTCTAGATTATTTCAAAGAAGAATTGAATGATTTTGAAGAATGGGAAAATTTTGATACTGTATCATCAGTAATCAATGAAGAAAGTAGCGATACTCACTCTCAAAATGATAAGAAAATTGACAATAATAATGATCATCAGAATAAAGTTAAATCTAAGAATGAATCTTTATTGAATCAAATTCATTCGACTGAACCAAAAATGACCACTAGTTTATTTAGATCAAAATCACAATCATCTGTGATTAACAATACTACTCCTAATAAAAATAATCCAAGAAAACGTCTCCTTGTTCCATCATCACCTGAGTCGAATCATTCAGAGATATTTTCAAATGAACTCAATGATAATATTGATGAAGATGATTTAATTTGGGCTGATGACGATGATGATGATTTTGTTGAACAAATCGATGAATCGGATATAACCGATAATAATATTGAAGAATTTTCCGGAAATGATGAATATTTATTATCAGAAGCTGTTAAAATTGCTGAAGCCGCTGAAGTTGATTGGCTTACAGAAGGTCTTATCAAAGAAGATACAGATGATATTGAAATAAATCAATGATAATAACACAAAAAAGAATTTTTGTGTTATAACTTTGTACATAATTTTTAAGAGATGACTATTTTGTTTATAGATAATAGCATGACTTATTTCTTGTGACAAACATCATCTATCAAACATTACTATTATTATCATTATTATTCTCATCATTGTTTGTTCTTCAGCGCTTACTATTTGTTAAATACTGTAAGCTGTAAATATATTGCGTGATTGAAGCCTAATTATACTTGTAAAATTAATTGGTTACAGAAATCGGTACTTACTTACGCCTGTTACTCGCAATGGAGCATAGGCTACCGACCAGTATTCTGCGACACACTCTGTCCTGGACCTTCTTTTCTAATTCTATCCAATTGTTATTCATTCTTATATATATACATATAATGCTACTTATTTGTCAGTCAGTATTAGTATCTGTGGCCATAAAAACATATAATTTGAGAAAGAATAAATTCACAGAATAATAGGTGTAAGACAGTTTTAAAACTCATGTAGACATAGTCGTTGCATTCGGTTCTGAGTCATGCTGTCCGAATTCTCCAACCATTGGTCACAGTAGTCGTACAGATCCTAACCAGGTAGTAGATGAGCAAAAGCTATCTTGCCGATTGATTTAGCATATTTGCTCGTTTACCCCAAATGCCCTGTTACAGCCGAGAGTGGGAGATTCAACTCTTCCTCTCGAAATGCTCTCACATAGACACGTGCATACAACCACTGCCGGGGAAGTCCTACTCACTGCCTTCTCGCAGCGGCGGCGTTGTTTACGAAATTGAGAAAACGAAATGCGGATGTCTGGCGCTTCAACCGGGTTGTTGGGTACGGATTTGGGAAGCTGACTCCAAATCAATGGTGCACATGGGCTCCAGGATCCTAAGGAAGCAAATGGAGTATGAGCCAACTGCTGGTCACCGGCTACCACGGGACTGTATCTCCTCACGATGCTCCACTGCCTTGTGGGTTAGACCTTTAGGTCGAAGGCTCCGTGTGTGGTTCCGTTAGGAAAACCACCTGCTTCGGTTAAGGCACCCGACCTGTGTCCCAGCCCTCGTACAAATCGAATGGTTTATGTGATGCATAACTATTTGGTGCTTCCTTGTACCAATGTTCGTGTTTAATAATGCTTGTCTACTATCCTATTTTTGATCTCGGGACTAGTCACTTTACGGTCCAAATACACGTCAGCAACCGTCCGAATACATCTATGCTGAAATGTTAGTAACCTACGGAAATTGTTTTTTGCCATATTTCACATCCATTGAGCCGAACAGTATACTCATCCCTTGATTGGTAAACGGACACCTCGACTCAAGTGGTGCAAGTTGGCAAAAGTCAGTAAAAATCTTTGGATCCATACTGATATTTCGTTAACGCTGACCCACTAGAACTAATGAAGCTTTCAAAATAATTGAAATAGATCTCATGATCAATTATTTTTCCCTGTAATTATTTTAGCCCTTTGCCTTTATACGCGTTGTAAATATATATGATTGCAAGACATCCATTGACAAGTTCGATCAAAACTCGGATAAAAAGGTTTTTTTTGTATTCTGAAAGCACTCTTAATAACAACGAAATTAAGATGATTGTTGCTTTCCGTTTATCCCTAACTATCAATTTTGAGAGCATGACAATAAATATTTGAGAAAAAACTGTGAATGAATAAATTGTTGATATAGGTGCCCAATGGGTTTGGTTGCACATTTTTCTCACGTAAATAATATCATATTAACTAACACGTTGGAACTTTTATATAAAATAATGATAACCTTATCACTAATGTTCGTTGTTTTTAATAAGGTAATTACTACCCATATTATTGGCTTTTAAATCATACTAACTGATTCCATTGTTCAGGATAGAGTTGGATGAAGAATGTTGGTGGGTGGCCTATGCTCCTTCACGAGGAGTGACAGGTGTAGAGAAGTAACTGATGACGCCATCTTTAAAATTATTAATACTATTAGACGACAGATGTAATTAGATGGTGGTTGGAAGTAGTCGACTGGAAACCCTGGACCCGGGATTCGTTCTACTTGGCACTCGTCTGCAAGGTGTACCTGTAATCTTGAGGGAACTGGTGCTCCCTGACGGATTCGGACTGTGAAGCTGGGTGACACGGGATCGAACCCGCCAGGGAGCACCAGTTCCCCCAAGATTACAGGTACACCTTGCAGACGAGTGCCAAGTAGCACAAAACCCGGGTCCAGGGTTTCCTGTCGACTACTTCCAACCACCATCTAATCTCAATATATAGTGCACGCAGTGCCGAGTCACCTAGATTGGTGGCCATATTGCAACATGGTCGATAGCATTTGATCTACACTAAATAAGGACTTGGCACGCATGACATTGATCGCCACCCAGTGATCAATCAATTGTGACGACAGATGTAAAGATTTCAAATCCAGGTGTGAAAAAATTGTGGGTTAATGGGTAGGTGGTGGGTGGTAGTTGTGAATAATAAATTTAAACCACAGTTTTAATGTTAATCTTGTGGAACATCCAAGTAAAAAACGCCTAGAAACTCAATGTCGCCTTTCCTCTTTCAAAAATAGTTTTTTTTGAATTAAGCATTAATTCAATAAGACAATTATTATTACTGTTACTCACCTTATTACAGATAGATTATGTTATTGTTTGCATATATTTACCTTCATTGTTTCTATACTTATCTAAATGAAGACACATTATTTCATTTATTATGTTCAAGTTTCCTTTCATATTCACTAATTCCTACTGTTACTCTCTGTTTTATTTTGTTTTAATATTAAAATGATAAGATTTTATTTTATTTTTCCCCACCTTTTCTTTATGTATATGCACATATATGTGTATTAACTCGATATGATAAATTTGTTTTTGTGTTAGTGAATAGTAGAATTAGGTGTGTTGTTATGTCGTTCCTTTTTTGCTTCTTTCAATTAACATCTCAAATCCATTAAAATTGCTTTCTATTCTTTTTCGGTATATATATATGTAGGTAAAGTAGAAGTGTTGTGAATGAACTAGGGTTGTAGGGTTGTAGATGCGCTCACCTTATAAGTACTAATAAGTAGTATAATAGTAATTAGTTTATTGTTATTTCGAATTGGATTGTGATGAAGTAAGAATAGAGTACAATTTGTTCAATTTGTTTTACTTCCCCTTAATGGATTATTATTTTTAATAAAGAAATGATACATTGATACTTATTATTTAATATACTGATATAAAAGAATCGGAATTCTCATGAAGAAATAACATCAATTTGGAAAATGATTGACTGCTATAGTGTAATAATATTGGTGGAAAGGTGAATCAGAAAAATCAGTAATCAATAAACACTTTCAAATCGATCCAATCTAACAATCAATCAGAAAAATCACTAATAAATGCTGAACCAAGAATCAAATCACTCGGTGATGCGATCAAAATAAAGAAGTAAATAATGATATTTTAAAAGTCAGCAATAACTAAATAAGATCGGGGGGTCTACAGGACAATCTGTCAGTCATATATGGAGAAATTCGAACATTTCACTTCTACCTAAAGTTTGCGCTGATTATGTCGTTCAGAAAGACAATGGAAGTTTCCCAAGCAAATCATCCAGTTCAGAGAACAAAACTCCACAAAAATTATCAACCTGGGCTATAGATCTTCTCCACTATCACTAAATCTTACTGTCCATTGTTTGATCTAATGTGTTTAATATAATAAATACACATTAATCTAGGATTTTAGATAATGATGAAATAACTACTTACTGATTTTCAAGGACTTATTCATTAGATGGTGTTGACTTGTGTTGATTGCTGATATAGTACTAATGTTTATTATTATGATTAGTTATAATAAGCTTTATCTGTTGAAATTCAGTTTACTACTTGGTTGATTGTTTAATCATTCATCTGTTAATGGTCTGATTACATATTGGAAATTTAATTTGACTTACAGTTTTACAATAATCTACTTATTGTGAAAGTATTAGTCAACAGATCTAAGCTTGAAAGATAATGAATATGTAAACTGAAAATCTCTAGATTAGGGTACTATATATTTAAGAACAGTAAGTTTTAGATGTTTGTTTATTTGTCTGGGTTTCATAACTTAAACCTTACGATTTTACAGTACTGACTACGGTGTCTAGAAATGTGTTGATTGGTTGATTTGAGATTCTTGGTCCTAAAGCCTATAACCCATGAAGGGTAATATAATTAAGTAAGTAAGCATGTGAATAAGTCTTTAATTCATGTAATTTTTAAAGTCTTTTATGATTATCATCCAATCTGTATCCTAGATTTCGGAATTCTAGATAATTACTGCTTCATCTGCATCATCGATGAACAAGGAGGTTCAGATGCAGACGTAAAGGCGAGGATCGGCAAAGCAAGGGCCGCATTCCCACAATTAAAGAACATATGGAACTCAAAACAACTTTCAACCAATATCAAAGTGAGAATCTTCAATACGAACGTCAAGGCAGTTCTACTGTACAGAGCTGAAACTTGAAGAACTGCAACAACCACCATCAAGAAGGTACAAGTATTTATAAATAGCTGTCTTCGGAAAATACTCAACATCCATTGGCCGGATACCACCAGCAGCAGCCTTCTGTGGGCAAGAACAAACCAGCTCTCAGCTGGAGAAGAAATTAGAGAAAGACAATGGAAATGGATAGGACATACATTACGCAAATCATCAAACTGCATCACGAGGCAAGCTCCAACTTGGAATCATGAAGAGAAGCGGAAAAGAGGAAAGCCGAAGAACACATTACATCGGGAAATAGAAGCAGATATGAAAAGGGTGAATAACAACTGGAAGGAACTGAAAAGGATTATCGAGGACAGAGTTGGGTGGAGAATGCTAGTGAGTGGCCTATGCTCCTTCACGAGGAGTAACAGGCGTAAGTAAGTAAGTAAGTAACTGCTTCATCTGTTCTATGTTTTTGATACTTTATCTTTTAATCTGACCCTAGTTTGGTCGTTTCTGATTGCTATTGAGATATGTATATCATC